ATATATATATATATATATATATATATATATATATATATCTTAGGTATACATAAATATTTTTCTAACGGCATGGCCAATGCAAATTTGACGTTGTTTGAAAAGACAGAAGTACAGGGGATACTTGGAAAATGAAAGTGGAACTTGTGGGGGGAGAAATTTGCTGTTCATTATAGATTAAAAAAGACCCAAAGATAGGGAAAGCCACTCGAGTTGATTAGGTAAAGAGAGAAAATCTCAAAATGATGGGATAATGATGAGATAATGATGGCATTTGGTTCTTGTGGTGGGTCATTCAAGGTTAGCTGACTAGGTACAAATTTTACATTATTATACACATTACTGTTTCGGTATGCGTGGAAATCTATCAAACACAAAGGAAAATTAAAAACAATAAAAGAAAGCAGACTATCATCTCTTTGGATTCCGCTTTAGAAGGATTGGAAGGAAACAAAAATAGAATAAAATAATGAATCAAATGTCTTTGTCCTCTCATTTGAGGAAGACTTGAATTGTATCTCATGAGAGAAGACTTTTTCACTTCCTCCTCTTAACATTTTCTTCCTCTCTTTTATTGCCAAGAAAACAAGATGCCTGGATACATAATTCTGTTCACACACCGTAGAAATAATTTCATTCCATTTTCTGCCCAACCAAGCACAGTATTTGTATTGAGGCATGGCATAGAAAATATCAGTAATCTAGTGTTGATCAGTGGTATAATAAGAAAGTACATGCAGCACACGGTTTTCTCCACTTTTCCTTGGAAGCTTGAAAATTCTAGAAAATATGCAGCTATGCAAGAGCCAGGAAGGTCCGCTATTAAATGAATCCTGCTGAAATTTTTGGCCAGAATCCTTGAATTTTCAACTTCAGCTACAATGGAGACATGATAAATTCTAACACCTCAATGTTTGAATCAAATAGTGCTTCTCAACTTAGTTTTATAACTTGATCTTATTTGTCCATGCTGAATCTAAGACTTTTGTTCCTATTCAACATAATAGCATGTGCTGTCCACACTTCACATTAAGGCATCTGTTTCCACGAGTGCAACATGTTTCCAAACGATTGGAAAAATTACCCTAATGAACTCTCTCGGGTTGGAAAAACCCTTCACTCCTCTAAATTAAAATATTTAAAAAGTAAAGAGAAAAATAGATGTTTCTATAGAAATCAAACAATGATTTTGAAAATCAGACATCTAGAAACATATATCTGTTGTACGCCATCGTTTGAGTGGCCATGAAACATGTGAAAGACTTAAGTATCAATGTTATTAATGTAAATACATGCACCTGCTTGTTTTTCAACTCAAATTACAGTGATTGTAGGAATTTAAAGTTGAATGCCTCTGATTACTGAGTCAAAAGTCTTTTTGATAGATATATATATATTATCTCTTTACGTATAGATTGCAAAATAAAAAGCAGTTCTGAAGATTCAAATTTGCTAAAAAGATTTGCAAATTCAAAGTGTTTAAGCTATAATCGTTGGATGCATTCCCTTAAGTATATGATTTAAAGGAAAGAACAACTTAAAAGATAATTGGCGATGGTGCCTGGCATGTTTATAGATTTTGTAGTACTAATAAGAACAAACCTAGACTAAATTTTTCAATTACATATACATAGAGAGAGTTGAATAGTACCAATTGAGTTTGTTACTTCTCATTTGGTGTCACATTTGAGTGCGATTTGGAATCCCATAAACTTATCAAGAGAAGCCAATGGGACCTTAGTCCAGTGGTCAAATAAACAGTTTAGATTTTGAGAAGTTTCAAGTTTAATTTTTGTTCTATTTTTGTGTGCTATGCGTGTCATTCTCTAGAAAGGTAAATACCTAAGAATACCAAATTCAAGCTAGCATAAAACTTGCTTTGGAAACTACACGACTCATTGTACTTATTAATTTATTTTACTGGAGCTAAAAATCTATGGATATGGAGAGGAGATTGATGCGATTGACAAGAAGAACACAACTGGCAAACTCAGATCTCCTTCTTTTGTTTGGATGAGCTAATGAACTCAAATTTAATTTTACATAAAGCTAGCTAGTTAGTATGATCATGAACAAAGGACCTTTTCGAAGGTAATGAAGAGCTAATAGTCCAGACCCTTTGCGGGGATAACACTGAACTATGTCAAAGGGATTAGTTCCTTTTACTGAATTATGTTTCTTTTCCTATTGCCTTCAAGCATGTTCTAATTAGGAACTCGTTACTCGATCAGCTTATCTCCATGCACGAAAGTATCTGGAAGCCATGTCATGTGTAGAACATGACGTTGACTGACTCTATGTAGTCGTCAGGCTTTGTAGTCAAGAAGGGAGGTACTCCCGGGATTGACTGCTACAAACCGATCCCTTGAAGGATAAAGTGATTGAAACTTTCCTCTGATTTAGCCTTTTCTCGGCCATGAAAAGCAAGTCAGCAACGCGGTTTCTCTCTTTTTGCTGCTGCCGTAGCATTAATGCATGCTGAGTTTTAAAGCTAGTGGAAGAAATAAAAAGATGTATGAAAGGTCAAAAGAGGAAAGAAAAAGACAAAAATTTTGCAGATAAAACCCAGATTCATTTAGCAACTTTAGAAGTTTTAAAAATGGTACAATTCGAATTTAATATTGATTATGGTATTTGTTTCAGACCGTTTCCACAAGCTCATGCGATCTTGTGACATGTCTTGCTCTTTTCTTCGTTTTTGTTTTTTTTTTCTTCTTACTTTTAACAAAGAAAAAACATGTAAGAAGATAACTTATAGGGGGGGATTAACTCTAGAAACCCTGGACCAGCAAGGTAATTTCCTCACACGGGACCTTTTTGACAAAATCATAGACTATTCCTATAGGGCCTTTCTTTCCGTAATGACTTCCATTGTTTTTTAGGAAAGAAAATAAAGATCAAGGGGAAATGTTGAAACATATATTGGTTTTTATCAGTGTTTCACCTCATCTAGCCATTGATTCTAATGCACATCAGAAAACCGAACCACGGGAGAAATAAGAGCCTTCTAGCCAAATTGAAAATCTTCAGTGTTCAAGGACACATCACATGACGCAAGGCAGCTATTGCCTATTAGCGAACTAGCGGTCTATGGCATCATTGCGGGCTAGACTTTGACGAGACGAGCTCCGATCTGACCCATCATAGGCCCAACGGCCTTTTCTTCTAGGTGGTGGGACAAAACAAATAGCACGCTAACCAAGGCAAAGAAAGTAACGACAACTTCAAAATTGGTTTGAAAACGTAATCCTTGATTTGATACTGTGACGCCCACTTTTCTGTCTCATTAGAACAACAATCCCAATGAAATGTGGTCAAAAGGCCAGCATATCAAACTAGTGAAGTGGATTGGTCGCTTTTCAGGCCCATGAAATAATAAGCTTGTAATTAGCTCACCACGTTTAAATACAGACAAGGAAGTCGTGAAAAAATTAAATTGATGAAGTCGATATCCTTGCGTAATGCTGCATCATTCAAGAGAGAAAACGATAAAAATTCTAATTACCAACATAAGAACAAAAACTATATCGAGATATTACATTGGAGAAAGAAACAACATTTTAAAACTGAGGCAGTGATGTACGTCTCTGTAGAAGTCGAAACATGGAAAACCAGATGTGACAAAAGTATTCCTAACTCAACTCAACAGTCCAATCCATCTTGTCCTCGATAAGACCCATCTGGAGTCTGGTAAGCACGGAGTAGAGCTGCTGTGATACAGCCCCAAAACCATCTGCTCCGTAAGACACCCTGCACGATTAAAAATTTTACAACAAACTCCGTTCGTCAGAACCCTATCCAAGACCAAGAAGATAGACAACGCACTTCAGCACTCAGGCAAAAGCAGCAGTTTTGCTTCAACAAGACCATGCTACCTATGGCTTTGATCAAAGATTTTTACTCGCACTTTCATTTTCATTTAAAGGAAAAGGAGATTGAGTAAAACCGTGAGAAAAAGAGAGGGGGAGAGAGAGAGAGAACTAATGCTACTGTGTCACTTATGTACAAAAACAATGGTAGTACTGACAAACAGACTTGTGACTTGATCCGAGGGGAGATAACAAGACAGTTGTAATTGCTTCGGAAGTCATTAAAATTTTCCTTCCGTGAATTCAAAACAATAGCTGCAATCATTACGAAGGCTATCAAGTATTGTGGAACAGGTAATGATTTTTGTTTCCTCCATTGAATGTGTCCCCATCTAAAAGTCAAGCTCAACATCAGCCAATCCCACTTTTCCATACAATTGGAATGTTAAAATTCCATTTACTAAAATAATAGCCCCACGCAAAAGTAACAAACAAACAGTACATGCCTACCATCTCCATCTCCCACAAAAGGAGACAAATAAATAATGGAAGATATAAACAGAACATAAAGAAGGAAAATTACCAAGTTAAGCAAAAAGCATTCACTCAACTGCACAGAGAATTTACCTTTCACCCTTGTAAGTAACGCTGCCGACAGGTGACACAACTACCGCTGTCCCTGTGCAAAAAACTTCGTCAGCATCAAGCAATTCCTCCACTGCCACAAGGCGCTCCTCAACCTGCATCATCAGCAGATGAGCATTAGGAAATGATCCAAGGAGCTCCTCACATACTCTGACTGCAACAATTATGATGTCACACAATGTGAAATTTATTAAAAAATTTATTAACTCAGTCTAGAGGAAACCATCCACGTAAAATCTGAAAAAGTGGCTGCATCATAGAGTATTGCAGAATACCTACCAATACATTCAGAAGATATAGACAAGTGAAGAAATTTTATTAACAGGAAAAAGTAGCTCACTCTCTACGTCCTGTTTTCTCCAAGTTCTAAGATCTTGCAGCCTCTATCACTACAAAGTTATTCTAAGTAACAAAGAAGAAAGAGAAAAGGATGGTAACCACTCTCAGACATTCTTTCATAAGCAAAACTTAATCAATAAACACCAAAAACAATTATCCAGATGAAAACAACAACACGCATAAGTTGCAGAAACCAAATAGTAAACATCCTCCATGATCCAACATGTGAACTTAGAACCATAGGGCTAATGTAAAAACCCCGTCATATTTTTATTTCTGAATCATTGATGTCTAGGAACTTTTATATGCTGGCAACAAAGAATACTATTTCAATGTGCATTTTATGTATAACTCTATAATTTCATCAAAAAATCTGAATAAGGCATTGCAAGGTTTTGAGGAAAAAGTCTGAAATGAAATTCAATTGTCCTCCAATTGCAAACAACAGAGCTTTTGGGAAGCCCAGTTTTTCCTACCCGAATCTTTGACAACTTGAAACTCTAGGATTTAGGAGACAAGCACTTGAACTATGTCAGCATAAAAATCAGGTGCAACTATACCTTTCTACAAATAACATATATAAAAGTCTCTACAATAAGACATTATGACATACCAAGACGCCAAGGAAGTCTGAAAGATGTGCCTAGAATTGGTGTGTCAGTATGAACAACAAATCTAAGTAAAAAACTGTAACAAAGCTAGAATAACGAGGTCCAATTATATACATTCCCAGATACACATAGTATTATTTTGGACAAAATGAATTTATAAATAGTCTTCCAAACTTCACAATGAGTACCTGGAACCCTTGGCTTCGAGCAACATCAATTATACTCTTTCTTGTGATGCCAGGTAAGATTGTTCCCTTTATTGCAGGAGTTGAGATGACATTACCCTAAAAGCACAAAAATCAAGATAAAGAAAAAGGGGTACTTCAGTGTCAACTACATCATCTCAGTATGTTTTAACTCATCAACCGCGGAGTATAAAAAGATCCAAAACAAGCGTTATTTAACTCAGAAATCTAAACTCTTAGACAGCATTTTGTTCTTAGAAACAGAATAGCTTCTAGAAATTTTCATTCAAATCATTTGAGCACAATTATTTTATTATAAATAGATTAAACAAAATATCCTTACAGATTGATTGAACTAAGAAAGCATTTAGAGGTACTAGATTTAACAAAGATGGATTCTAAGTAGCTACCCCAAAGCAGAAGTAAAAGTTGGTAGTCATGCCACAGCTATATGTAGGAGTCATTCAGTCAAAGGCAAGACAATATGGCAATGATGCTAGCCCCAATTTGTAGTAGAGTTCCAACAAAAGATTACAATGGTGGGCTTTTATTGTAATGCATCACTTAAAATTCAGACTGAAGATAAAGCAAGGAGATCATGATCACAGAACATGGTCCACTAACAAAGCATTTTTATTAAGTTTCAATGTTTTTTTTTTATAAAGGCTACTAGGTTTCAATGTTAAGGCACATATAACTGTTAAACACATTGAAGAAGATTTTCAAAAAGGGGGAGATTGATGTTTAACACTTCTTTCTATGATAAATAGCATACCACCACAAGTCTAGATGAGAAAAGAAATATTAACTACTAACAAATAAGTAGATCATAATACCTTCACCACGAAAATGTTGCAAGAGGAAACTTCCTCCAAATACTTTTTGTGAACACAATCAAGATAGAGGACATCAGAGTATCCTTTGGCTTTTGCAGCAGATTGCGCCTTCAGAACCTACATACACGGTAGAAAGAGACAGCATTAGCTTGTAGAAAATGTAATTAGTGTCCTTGTTTCACTATCAAAAATATTTCAACTGCCTGAGGCAAATGAATTGGTGAATGGATTCACTAAGCACTAGAAAAGCTAGCTTACCGCAGCATAATTCCCGATAGTTTTAACACCCCCAGTGCCGCCAGGAGTGGCACGATGCAATTCATGCTCAACAATTAAATGTATTGGAGCAACACCCTCCTGGAATCATATACAACTTGTGAGTGAATAATCATATTATAATTTGCCAAATTATAAAAACAAGGAAACAAAAGGATACCAAAGAGTAAATCCAACGAACTGATTATGCCTCCAAACAGAAAATTAATAGCTTGAAAAAGGATTTTAAACTTAACAGAGCATAATCTTAAACGGTTGCTTATCTCATATGTAATTAAATAACAAACCATCTTCATTGAGTGTTAATTTAAGGCAGTTATAAACAGAGGCCAATGTATAGAGATGTATTATATTATAGGGTAAAATACCCCCAGTTTCTTAAGTTTTGATTGAAATTCCCAACAAGTCCATTAGTTTTTGAAATTGACACTCCGTCCCAAAAAAATATCTTTTGTTGGACACATAGATTCAATTGTTAGTCGATTATTAGTGTTTCCGTTGGTTTAATGACATGACAATATTGAAATGATAATTTTACCCTTTATTAATTTTAAAAATTACTATTATATAATTTTCATTAATTTTTTTATTAATTAAAAAAAAAAAGAGAAGCACACCAATCGATGCTCCCCTCTCTTGGGGAACATCGGCTAGTGCTCTCTTTTCTTGGGGAGATCGGTGCTCTTTTTTAAAAATATATATATAATAATAATTTTTTAAATTAATAAAGAAAAAAGGGCATTTTTGTCTTTTCATCATCTCTATTAACGATGTTTACACTTTTGGAGCAGAGTGTCCATTTCAAAAACTAATAGACCGGCTTGGAATTTCGATTAAAACTTAAAGGTGTGAGGGTATTTTACCCTATATTATATTATTATAGATAAATGTGTATGCATGTGTGTGTGTGTGTATAATGATAGAAAAAAACCTTTAAAAAATTATACAGCTAATGTATCCCTCTTGCGAGGCTAAAAGAAAAGGAAATTTGATTAAGCTTATGCATGACTAAAAAGCAAGTATCAAAGATAATAAACCTTAAAATAGTTTCCCACAGGTGAGACATAAATAAGAAAGGTGTACTCAGGAGCAGGTGCAAGACCAAGAACAGCACCACTCCCCATGAGCAATGGCCTGATGTACAAGGACCCTTTACCACGGGGGGGAACCTGAAATGAGAAATTAACAATTTACTCATTAAATGGGTAAAGCCAATTGCTAGCAAAACTCCTGCTTCATATCAAGGTTGCTTGTTACCCAACGTTTGTTTGCCAGGACAGTTGCCTTTACAGCTTCCACAAACTGCTCAACAGTGGGTGATGGCATGCACATCCTCTCTGCACCCAACCTCATTCGAAGAGCATTCTCCTCAGGACGAAAAAGAAGAATATTACCATCTTCTTTCCTGTAGGCTTTCAGACCTTCAAATAATCCCTAGAGACACAAACCAGGAAACAATGATATGAGAGAGAGAGAGAGAAAAGAGAACTAGTATATCACAATGCTTAAAGACAAATTAAATATAAGTTTTACAAGGCAAAGTTAAATGGGGCCCTAACAACACATTATCTTAGAGCATTACACTAGATATAACACATCATGAACTCTCTCTCTCTCTCTCTCTCTCTCTCTCTCTTTGAGGTGGGAGGAGGTCATCAAGGTTGTGTAACATAATATAGGTATATTACTTACTTAAATTGTAATCATCCGCACATAAGAATAGGTTTGTGCATACTGCACAGCAACCATCATGGCTAAGTAATGAAATCTAAGCAAAGCAGAAAAAAAATCAGGAATGGAAGTTAAGAAATCTAACCTGTCCATAATTTAAGACCCCAGCTGAGGGGCTTAATTCAATTTTCCCAAATTGTTGTAATTCACCTTTAGAGTAGTTTCCTCCTTGAGTACATTTCATCATATACATATAATCAGTAGGAAGAAACCCAAATCCAAGATTGTCCCAGTCTATATCAGCCAATTCGGATGCTTCAGTGCTGCATTCAAAACAGTTAAGTCAAATGCACAGAAGAAGAAAAAAATCACCATTTCGGATTGAAAGAAGCAGAGAAAAGCGGCAAAGTAGAGGATGAGTTTGATAATTTCATCATTTTGATACCTATATGCAGAGAATTTATGAAAACAAGAGAAATATAGAAAGGTACTCTCTTCTGAAGTATTTTCCAAATCTTGCCACATTTTGAAGAGATTTGGGACAGAATGGAACCACCAATAATATTGTGCATAATACACTTTGAAATACAACCCATTTCTTTATCCTCAAGCCCTCAAGCAACTAAAAAAAATTGAATTTCACTTCTTATCAGCTTAAATGTTAGCATTTCTCTTGACTTCTATCATAATGTAAATTTCCAAATTACTGGATGAATTGTTGATTGCACCGGTAAATATTTAGCTACAATGCAAAACTAAGGCTCCACTTGCTAGCAATCTGTTCTGCTATAAAGGAAAAGCAAACAGCAAATTTTTTTAAGCCAAAAATAAACAAGTAAATGAATGCATATAAAAGCACAGTCATAAGCTTCTGCTACTCATAAAATTGAAATGTTTTAATTTTTAATTGTTAAAAGCCTTCTCCATATGTACACAAACATTATCCTTTAGTCATGCAATAGTATCAACCAAAATGAAGTTTAAATCTAAATTATATACATACTTTTCTTTTTTAGCCTTTTACCAAAAGCAAGAATCTAACTTGAGGCTCTTTCTGTTGTTGCTTTTGCTATTTTTTTTTCTCGATAAATAAATTGCTATAAAGAAAAAGGCAATAGAAAAAAAAACTAATAATTCATAGAAAAAACTAAGCAAATAGTTAAATTGAGACAATAATTCAAACAAATTTGTTTAAAAGAACAAATGAGTTATGTTATCCATGAAAGGCAAACTTTTAACTTTTTATAATTCTTAAATATTTTAGAAGTTTATAATAAAAATGTCGCCTACTTTCCTATCCAAATGCAGTATACCTTATTTTTCTTGATAAGAAAAATAAACGAGTTGAGAAAAGAAAAAACCATAAAACCTTAAGAATAATAATATGTAGATCTTCCAAACTAAGCAAACGCCAAACACACTTGCTAATGATACACTTGCTAATGATATCCTTTCTTTTACATTATGGCAAAATTACGACTTTGGGAAAAGAAAAGTTCTTTGATAAAATGTAAAATTAAAGAACAAAAATGGCTACTAAAAGAGAGCCTAAATAAAAATATAAATAAACAAAGAATGCAATGAAATTGAGGAAATCTAATGCAATTTGATCATAAAATTTCAAAATTTTAATCTTCATAGTGAAAAAAAAAAAAAAGCACACACCTATAAGAATCGGATAACACAGTAGCACGCTTAAACGGATAGTTAGCTTCATTAACATTGCGAGAATAAGCAGAGGCTAAAATTTGCTTCTGCAACTGAGAAAGAAACACGGAGCAAATAAGCAGAATCAAATAGGCAACTGCAACGGGGAAGAAATGAAAGATGGAGGAAAAAGACAAAAGAGGTTACCTGCGGAGGAGAGAAACGCGTTCGTTGAGGAAGAAACGTGGCGGCGGCGGCGGAGGAAGAGGAAGAGCGAGAAGGGCAAATAAGGTAAGTTGGCTGGAGACTAGCGAGGACGGCGCTGCTTTCCATTTTCTCTCTCTATTTTTTTTCCGCCAATAAACTTGTTTTTGTTTTCTCTCTCCCTGTCTCTTCGTTTTCTGCCAACAAAATGGAAAATATTTTAAGTAAGGATTTTGCAGGCTAGAAAGAACTTCTAGCTGACGTGGATACTCTTAAAGTCCTCGTCAACTTTAACCTAATCAATATTTTGCTCTTAAATAATTAAAATTAAATAGTACGTTTTAAAAAATAAAACATAAAATACTGATAACGGAAAACTATGGTATATGAATATAGAAAAAGATATGAATAAAATAGTAGTACCAATGGTTAGATCATACACCTGCTTTCCGGCTTTAGGATCAGGACTACTGAGTCACTCAGACACGGACTCACCCGGATTCACTGTAGAAGTCAATTCTGTTGTGTAGCCAGTGGGCCCAACTTACGTTAATAACTTCCTAATTAAATGTCATTAAATATAAATGAAATTGTAAAAAATAACTTTCCTTATAAATTGATTTCAGAAATAGTTATTTATATAAAATTATTTATTTTTATCTAATTTTAACAACAATAGATAAAAATACTTTTAAAAACATTTCTAACTCATCATAAAAAAATTAAATGTTAGTTATTTTAACTTTTTTAGCTCTTTGAATTGTATCAACCTTTTCAGCTCTCTGTTGAGTACCATGGTTATCGTACAGTGGTTTATCTTTCGACATTTGACCATATCATTCTCGTTAAATAAACCCTATAATAGAGATGACATCAAAACATGTTATTGGGTTTATTGCTACAAAACATTAATTTTTGAAACTTTTTGTTTAAATTAAAATATTACCTAGAGTTGTGACACGCCATGCATGCACATGATATGTAAAAAATATATTAAAATAATATATGTTAACACATAACATGTTATAGTTTTATTGAATATGGCATGTAACATGTTATCAACATGGCATGTAATAATATGTTTCATTTGAACATAGCGTGCGAGAAAATTTATTCAACATGGCATGTAACAATATATTTTGAACATAGCATGTAGCAAAATTTTAGAACACGGCATGTAATGTGTAAATTGACTGACAAATTTTTTTTAAAAAATTTTATTGACGTTTCAATTGTGCGACTTGTGATAAAGACACATGGTCATTAGGTGGATGGCCTTTATAAGAATGGTGAGTCACAAATGCAGGGGATTATAAGTGATTTATCGCTTGCGAGCTTGATGAAGCTAGTTGAAGATGTTACAGTAAACTCGAAAATTCACAAGATTGGGTTGCATGCATTAATCAATATACTTAAAAAACTATCACGTTCAATTATCAAGGATGATGAGACTGTTACATTGGTTTTGCTAGAACAGAAGAATGTTCTAGCAATGTATATCGTTTTTAAGGAACATCATACAAATGATATGTCTCATGAAGAAGCTATACAACATGGTAATCAACTCAATCAAAATGATATTTACAGTGCTTCACATATACCACAACTTTCGGTCCCTAAACCACAATAATAGCAATTGACGCATGCACAAGAGTTTGTGCAACTCGGTAGACCCACAACATTCACAGAACAATTGACTACACAATTTTGATCAACATGTGCATCAAACCAATTACTTGCTTCTGTTTAACAAATGCAACAATTAAGTGAAATTGTAAAGATTGTAATGCCATTTTCAAATAAAACTACGACACTCGAGGATAACATTGTGACGCTAGAAGATGACACTGTAATACTCGAGGATAATATTGCATCTGATGAGGGAAATAAGGATTTACTCATTGCCGATGAAAATAGATTTGATGACAATTCCAATGACCAGCTTGATGAATGGCATGATGACAGTTTAGACGATAACTGGCTTTACGACAGTGATATTTCAATTTGTAATAATGTTGAAGGCAAAACGGAACGTGTTAGAGGTGTTGATATAGGATATGTTTAATGTGATGACCTCATATACGATAACCTCATTGCTAGCAAAAATGTAATTCATTCGTATGAGACATTGCTCGATGATAATTTTCAAAAAAAAAAAATACAAAGATATCTTGTACGTGACTAATTCCAAGTGCAAAAAGATTCTCCTTCCAAACACTTGCCATTGAGGAGTTAACCATTTTCAATGATCACTTATACAAAAGAAAAATATTTTCTTCGAAGATCGAATTGAAACGTACTTTGAACATGCTAACTCTAAAAGAACAATTTGAAATAAGAGTAAAAAGGTAATATAAAAATTGTTTTGAGATTACTTACAAAGACAAGACATGTAAGTTTAGTGTGCATGCAATAACGTTACTTACTTGAAAGAAAATATTGATTAATTCAAACGTTTCCCAAAGTACACATATGTATTGTTGAAGGTTTGTAAAACAAATTTAAAGTTAATTTAGTAATTTTGAAACCTAAAGACATAATTGGTGAAATAAAAGTTCAATGAAAATGAAAATACTTGTATGGTAAAACCTGATAAACAAAAAGAGTACATAAAAAGACTTGTTTTTGATCCTCCAAAAGAATCATTTCAATTACTATCTCTGTATTTTTGTATATTTGAACAAAAAATTCCCAACATAATCACTGCCGTTCATTATAAATACACGTGAAACTCGCAACAAATTAAGTAAAACTCTCTTCTTTTTGAAATAATTCATGAGTAATAAAATCCCCAATCCCAATCATAGTTAATCCGCGTGAAAGTCGATGAAAGCGGTGGGTTCTTCTTTAGCTTTCATACACACGAAAACTCCTTGTATTTAACGCCCAAAAGAAATAATGCCTGCCGCCTTTAGGCTAGCAGTCACCTAGAGATTTTTTATTTTTCTTCAGTGAAAAATAGAAACACATAAGCAAGAGACCATGATCAGCTCCAATAAAAATCATGCCTCGAAAAGTTGGTCGACTGAGTTTTAAGAAAACCAAACCGCATTTTCTCAATTTGCTATATCATTCAAGTTTATTAGGAGGTAAGAAAGGCATCAAGTCGTCCAAACCAATTTCCAACACCACACCACGCTATAGGCTTTTAAAATACCTAGGCAAAATCTAACCGGTTTTCTCATCATACAAGCCATAAACCAACACAAGACACTCCCACCTTCCAGAAGCTATCACACCACCCTATCGAAACTAACAAGGAATATCAGAAACCAACCACTAAACATACCCACGCATGAACAACAGAATAAAGAAGCATTTACAAGTTTCAAACAAGTTCCGAGTTAGTTAAACACATTCGCATGATTAGTTCCTGCAAGATAAGTCGACCCCTTCCAAGTATATACTAGTCACTTATGCTACCCTGCAATAACCAAAAAGAGTAATTAGAAGGCTGTTTCAATCAAGATTGATCTTTATCATAATTTGACATGAGACTAGGCCCCAAAGAGAGGACAAAAAGCATACCTTTGTGCAACATGGTTAAAATTTGCTGCCAATTAACTGTAGCAGCTCAAAAAACAACTACAATTCTACAACTTCTGCATTGACCTCGTCCTCATTCCAATTTTCTCATTGTCATCTGGTTTGGGAGCAACATTTTCTTCAAGCTTCTGTTCGCTTCTCTCTGAAATGTCTTCCATTGGCTACAAAATCAAGAATGGCATGACCCTTAAGTATACAAAATAAAGACTGAAAAGTGAAACTAATTTTGTATACTGAAAAGTGAAACTAAGTTAAGGGGCATATCAAATAAGAAAACATAGAATGCAAGTAGATTAGTTTGACTAAAATGCCAGGGAACACTTCCTATTTGATGAAGTTGCATAAATAACTGATCATCTTGTATAAGTACCCATCATGAGAAAATTTATTAACCAGCTCATAAACAGGGGATCCTACTGTTTATGAACCAGAGATACAGCACCAGTCAGGGTAAAAAAGCAAATAATTCATATCATATATAAAAAGCCAACTAAAATGTTGATAGTATCATCTGCATGCAAGAAAAAGGAACTTGCAGATAGGGGCAATCAGCCCTTACCTGACAGGGCTCGATAACTTGAGACAAGTCCCCCAAATGTGCTTCTTGCACCATTCCCGGTTCCTCAGATCCCCCATTCTCTCCTTGTGTAGCATTTTCATGACTACACATTACTCCACTTTGAGAAATATCCTGCACTGATTCTGCTACAATATCATCATCACCAACAGTCTTTTTCTCATAGGTAACTTCTGAAATTTTAATTATTTTATCAATAATCAGCACATTGGTCTCATCAGCCCCTCCATGACTCTGATTGTCCGTTAATGCAGGCTGATCCTGTGATGCATTTGGTTCAGTTGAGTTTAGGCTGAAAAAAACAAATGTCATCGTAAGCAAAACTGAGCTACATGCATCAAGAAAAAATCTGTATATCATTACAAGGCTAAATAACATGCTAAAAACAAAAAATTTCTGATATAAGGACACAAGTGGATACCTGTTGGTAATATCCTCTTCTTCAACTGATGAAGCATCTTTCTTTTGCCTCCTTTTCTTAGTACTGCGTGAAGGTGAGTTGGCAACTCTTCTTTTCTTTCCAGGTTGATTGCCTTGTTCAGAAACTAATAATGACTTTTCAGCATCATTTTTCTCAATTTCAGATTCCAAATCATGGATTCCTTTTACCACCTCACCTTCACAGGGCACTTCCACTATCACTTTCGGTTCTCCATCAAACCCCACAGGCTTTCTCCCATACCGCTTGTATTTTTGGCCATCACTTGAAACTAACTTTCCAGCTGATGTCACACACACATTTTCAGTGTCAGATGTCAAAGAGCCTTCTTCAGGCTTCATTTGGGCCTTGTCAGGGGTGTGTTTGAATATCAATTCACTGCAGCGCTTGATCCATGAGAAACGAGCAGAGCTAGGAGGAGAAGCACCAGTTGGTTTTAACATTGGAGAGTTGAATCCATGGCCATTGTCAGCAACAACCATATTTTTATCTGAATCAGATCCAGCATTTTGCATGAGAGTTTGCTGTTTCAGATTCTTTCTTTCAGATGCTTTCTGCTGGCTAAGCTCTATAATTGATTGTTGCATTTGAGCCACCATCATATTATCCAAGGCAGCTTTCAAGTCCCCCAACTTTTTGAGCTCTTCAATCTCAGCTTGTATCTCTTTTCTATCAGCATGCAATAGTTCCCTCTGTTGTTTCAATTTGTGCCTTTGCACCTTAAGCTCTTCAATAGACTTGTTCAACTCCGCCCATTCCCTTTCCCTTTGCTCACGATCCAACTTGATCTCCAGTCTCTCAGCATCAAGCCTTTTCATTTCCAAAGTAGCTTGTTCCATCTCTTTCTCCGCTCTCTCCTTGAGAGCATTAATATGCTGAAGTTCATTTTTCTTTTCTCGCTCAAAAGCTTCCTCTCTTTCCTTCAAAGAACCTTCTAATTCCTCACGCCTTTTCTCAATACAGTTCTCCAATTCCCTCTTTTGGGTTTCAATTCCCAACAAGAATTCAGCACGCTCTTGTTGAATCTTGTTCAACCAATCAGAATGCTCAAGAACCATCTTGTTCATGAAGTCTTCTCTCTCACGATTCAATGACTCAACATCCTTCTTATGCTGCTCTCGCATCACATCACGCTCTCTTCTCAAGCTTTCACGTTCATCCTTGAGAAACTTTGAAACTGCTTCTCTCTCATCACGAACACGCACTGCTTCCTTCGTCAACTCTTCTCCTTTTTCATCAATCAACTCCCACTCATTTTCAAAGTTTGCTTTCTCTACTTTTAACCTATCTGCATCAGCCATAAGCTCCAATTTTTGAACCCTAACCAAGTCAAGTTCCTCCTTCAGTTTTAATTCCAAAGTTGATAATTCATGCGTCTCAGTTCTCATGGCTTCTAGTTTCTCCTTTGCACAATCAACTTGGTTTCTTTTATCTTCCAATGAAGACAACGACTTCAGAAGCTCTAGTTTCTTTTTACTTATCTCTTCCTTTTCTTTTTCTAGAAGAGCTTTCTTCAACTCAAGTTCCCTTTCAAGAACACTCACATTTTTTTCTCTCTCATCTATGAGATTTGACTTCTCAGCCACATCCTTGTCCTTCTCCGCTAACATCCTTGATCGAATCTCAAAATCATGCTCCCTTTCACGAATTTGGTCCTCCCGATAATTGATATCCATCTCCTTCAGCTCCCATGTCCGTCTCTTCATTTCAATCTCATCTTCTGTCATTTTACGCTTGATCTCAAGCTCAGCCTCAAACTCAGATTTTCTGATTCTCAATACAGTTTCATGACTAGCAATGGCTTTGCGAATTTCATCCTACATTATTCATTGAAAAGAATAAGTTTTCTATAAAAGAGAAACAAAATTGAAAATCATAAAGCAAGTTCAACAAAGTAACTCACAGATTCCTTGTTTGCAAGTTTCTGTTTAGAAACAAGAAGCTGTTCCTCTTTCTTGCTAAGCAAAGCTTCTCTTTCAATAACAGCCTACATGCACAAAGGAAGAATTGAATTAATATGACTTCCAGAAGGTAAGAGCAACAAATTCACAAGAAAATTCATCCAAATCATATGGGCATATAAATTATACAAACCTCCTCTCTTTTTGACAGAGAAGCTAAACTCAACTCAAGGTTACATTTCTCATCCTTCAAAGCCCTACATTCCTTTTCAATATCTGCTCTTGAAGCCTCCAACTCCTTCTCAAGTTGATTTAGTTCTTGAGTTCTACTAAAAATATACTCCTCTCTCTGATTTAAGGAAGCTTGCCCATCAAGTAGTCTTTCATGTTCTTGCTGTACAATCTTCTGCCTCTCACTCAGCGATTGCCGTTCAAGAACGATCTCTTTCTCTTTTGCATCACAACTAAAACATGTAGATAAATAATTAACAGACTCCTTGAACCAAACTTTTAAATCAAATTTATAGACTCACTATTGCACTATGTGACATTATGGTAAAAACAATTAGATGAATTATATCATCATCAGCAAACTGCAGAAATGCAACCGAGCAAGCATGCATTTTCACACACTATCACCATGACCAAGCCAATTAAGTTTTACTTGCTTTCAGCAACAGGCGATTCAATCATGCTCATCTTAAAAATATGTAGATTAGATTAGAAGGCTATCATGCCATGGTTCTTATTTATAGAAACTTTTCGATGCAAGACCTAATTCATATTGCAATCCAATAACAAGAAGACTACATCCCATCTATGAACACAGGAAGATACACAAGGCACAAATACTTCCTCTTGGCAATTAAAAGCATGTTCAAGAACTGCAAACTGAAATGGAAAAAAACAGAGAAACAATCGAAAAAGAAAATGATAGTACAAACAACATAAAGAGGGAAAAGCTGTGTATATCACATACTCCTTTTTGAACAACAAAATACGACGACCAAGATCATCTTCACGTGCTTCAACTTCTTGGAGCTTTCTCTCAGCAGTGCGTTGAAATAGGCTAACTTCTGCTTGTAAAGACTTTGCAGCATTAAATTTTGCCTCAGCCTCTACAAACTTCTTCTGAGCATCCTCTATCATAATACGTGCTTCAGCTAATCTACTTTCAGCTGCAACCTTAGTTTCAGCAGATTCAGCACGCATCTCATGCAAAGCTTTCTCAATCTGCAAAATCCCACCACAGAGTCCTAAGAAACATATAATAGTGAAAGAGGAGGGAAAAAGAAAAATTCCTAAAATTAATGAGACTTTAAATGAAAATCATACACTAGCGATGCATTCTTTCTCAACTCCTAAAGCTTTCTTCAAACCATCCTCTCGCTTTTTTGCTTCTGCAAGAGCACATATATGTGCAGCTTGATCACGTTTGTGCATTATCTCAGTTGCTTCAGCAGAGGATTTAATTTGATCATACTTGGAAGCCAACTCCTTTCTTTCCAATATAAGAAGGCCCATGTGGTGTTGGTGGTCAAAGAGCTATACACAAGAATAAATAAATATATAAAATGTGAAAAGAAGCAAAAATGAATGAAGATCTGCGACATGAAATTATGGGAAACATGAAATGTGCATAGATCATCATATGCTAAACAAGAGTGCCACCAGTCCTCACTCTTATCCTGTGCACAAACCATTTGTTTAAGTTTCATTCATGCACCAAGGTAGGAAGAGATCACTGCTCAATTATGTGTCAACCATTGGAACCAAGAAGTGCAAAAACTCAGAACAAAAAATATAATATAGAGTGGCATTAAATCCATAAACAGGGGCATAGAAATTGAGAAAAGCTAACTAAAAGCAATAAAACAAATCATAGAACCCACAGAACAAAACCATAAATGCTATAAAATCTCATAAAAACCCACAAAGTTAACAGATCAAAGGTGCCATTTGCATGCTCCCAACGTCAACCACCTACTGGGTATCAGAAGGGAAACAACACCCCAAACAGCACAAAAAAAAATTTAGATTAAAAAAGTCAAGTTTTTTTCCATCAAAGCTCATACAAAGAAAACAAACATGATGCTACTTGAATGGCATTTAAGTGAATTACAAAGCTTTCAACCTAAAGCAATGTTCAAGACTTTAGTTGGTAGCTTGACCTTGAAAATTGACCTCATAAATCACATGGTCACAAATATCAAAACAAATTCTATATACAATTACAACAAACTAAAAATCGAAAGCATTTCTGTTTTATGTTGAAATTTGTTATATATAATATAACAAACTGAAACTGAAACTAAAACGCCCCACAAAGAAAAAAGAATTTATCCTTTTTTGTTCTTTTGTTGCCACCTTTACAATTCACAAATTAAATTTCAATACACTACTAATACTTTCTTTTTTATCTATTGCACCAGCAACCAAACAAACCCTTAAAAAATAAACAAAAGACAAAGAAAAATCATGAAAAGAATTTAGCAAAGCAGTTTGAAGAATTGAAGCAAACCTCAGTTTCAAGCCTTGCAATATACGCAATGAGAGCAGCTTTATCTCTCTTCTTGATCGATTCCTCGTCGAATCCAGCTTCCTTGAGCCGCTTCCAGATCGTTTCATCACTAAGAGGACTCTTCAAAACCCTAGACCCCGGCGTTATCGACAACGCTCTACTAGTACCTGGAGTGACCGGACGTGCCATCTTCCAAGCCCGACCACCGGCGCCAAATCCCTAGACTTTCGATGATCCGAACGTCTTTAGCTTTTTTTCATCTAATTCTTCTCTTTTTTTTCTTTCTTCGCTGGACAAAAAAAAGAGCATCGAAGTGTTGAGTCACCGGCTCACCGCTGAGTCGAGTTTTGTTCTCTAGAAAGTTGAAATCGCTTTTACTGCCATTATTAAATGAAAAAGAAAAAGATTCTTTTTTTGTGTGACATAAAAGCGATGTCGTTTTTGAAAGTTTAGGCCGCCACTCTATGGGCAAAAGAAGCAAAGTGAATTGAAATTGAAATTTTAAAACAGGATTAGACCGAAGTGTCAAGAGTGACAGTCAAGACCCCACGTCAGCTATGTTCAAAGTTTAGAAAAGGGGTTAATTTATGAGTCGCTTTCATTGGAAATATGCCGTTTGCCGGCTGAAGCTAGATCAGTTACACGTGTTTCTCTACAATTGGGCAATTTGCACCCATATCTCGCTCTTGATTTATGTTTAAATTTGGCCAAATAAAAAAAAGGATTTAAATTTAATTGCACTTATTTGCCTCCTCATCTCTGCTTGCAATTCATATCCGAGATTACTGACAAAGGAATATCTTTTTATCTTTCTAGTAAATCAATCAATCCAATCTCGATCAAACGGCCAAAAACTCAGGTCAAGAAAAAGATGTAGCCTTTTCCCCACAATTGTCAAAGCTTATAAGCGAATGCTACAAAACGTAGCGCATTGGTTTTTAACTTATTTAAATTTACTTGGCCCAAGTAGTAGCTTATCTGGCAAATGCCAGATTGGAAAACATGGGCAGAAGCAGAGCTTTGAAGATACGTACACAATTACTTACATTAACATCCACGTTCCAACAATCTTTCATATCTAAATTTTGAGGGTTGCTTTCATTTTCTCACGGTAGTTGTCCAACCAACCTTGAATCAACTTGATCTCAGTTTCCCTCTGTTCCACTAACCAGTCAGGGTCTTCAGTCGTGGAGGCACGCAAATCTATGTGATGGGCACCTGAAACATTGCATAAGCAAAAAAATGTTGTTATACTTGAATGATACTGGCTGCGGTAAAGGTAATCAGTTAGAATACCACTTCATCACTAACTCCAATTGTGCTAATAACGGCATTAAAACTGTTCTGTCTAGAGCTGTAAATGGTACATCAGCTAGCAGATTACTGATGCTAAATCATGTCCTTTAAACAAATTCTGGCCTCGACATCAATCTTGCAAGGCTTAGAAGTGATCATATAAAGGAATTGACATTGAAGATGCTTAAACTAAAACTTAATAAAAGACCAGAGGAGCAGGAAGATTCATCGGCTGTACGTTGAAACACACTCATTAAATTTAGAAACAGGGATGAGGTGGGAAACTTTATCAGATTGGCATTGCTTGATAAGCTATTCTTTAATCTTATAAGAACAATGTAGCTACAATGTTAAACTTGAGTTCTACACTTGTTCCATGATTATAATTGTTAGACCAGGAAGACGTGATAAGTGGATAGTCACCACAAAAAAATGCAGAACAGAATGGTACAGAACAATAAAACAGAGCCAAAAGCACTCCAGGATCATAAATTTATAAATTTGGGTTACTGTTGTGTGTTTATGGGATGGTTGGCTTCACTTGTTACACAAAAGGACAGCCAAAGCTGTAACTAAATATGTATAAGATTCTCTCTCTGGTCCAATCAAATGCATGCTAGACTTGTTTCCTTGAAATTAAGACATTGTGATTGACAAATTATAATATTAAGTGAAAAACAAAATGCAATTGCATTGATGGAAGTTGGAAGCAGCAACAACTGAAGATTTACTTACAACTAAAATATCAAGGATCACGCTATCATTAGAGATATAATTTCTTTTCAAGCCAAATGAACTATGAGGACAAGACAAAAACCCAAAAAGATGACAGGTCAGGACTAGCTAAAGAGACAAATGACATATGAACAGCCCCAATTAAAGAACAAATGAGAAAAAGAATCCATAAACTGAGTAGATTTGACATTTAGGGCCTCCTAATTGATGGGGCAGTTGCACAAATGACACCTTATTCATTCAAGATAAGAGCTTACTAGCTAAATCAATCATGTAGTTTAGTTTGAGAACCTTATGCCCCAAATTATTATACTTATCAAAAATGGAAGCAACAGATGACTTCAGAAAGTATTACCTTCCTCTGTAACAAGAGCAACAATTGTTTGGGATATATTCTTCAGAACACTGCAGTGAATATTATCAAAATTAGTCAGAAATTAGATGATTAAAACTTTGATAAAAGTAAATACAACGAGCTCACCCGCCGCCACTCCAAGGATCCAATAGACCATTTGAGAATATGATGTTACTTCCAAAGATTTTCAATACATGCTCAATATCCTTCACATAACAACAATGCTTGTTCATTATCCTCCATATATCAACAAATGCTTATTCATTTAAACCATGCAAATGGAGGGAACTAAAAGAGATATAGTAACATATTGTTCTCTTACATGTCCACCAAATTCGGTTGTTATCCATCTAGGCCTTGGTGTCACCTGGAAATCCCTCTTGCACTCCTCTTGGAAAGCAGAGTAGTCATAATCATATGCTGGAAACATGCTTGTATTTCTATCACTAGACATTGGCATAACCATCTCAGTGCATGCCTAAAGAAAGAACCAGAAGTGACAGACAATAAACATTAATGCATAACTAAATAAAAATTTGGAGAATTATAAGACTGATAAAGGAGTAAAATGTAGTGTCATTTTCAGACCTGCCAGTTCCACCCATCCATGCCATGAGGATCATCATCAAGTTGAAAACAGTCAACTTCTCCAGTATAATTGTAGTAGACACTTACTCCGTTGAATATACGCTCCAGAATGCTAGACCCGTCAGGAGAACTGTCAATCTTTCTACATACCTGTAACAGGTACATATTTAATTAGAGCAAGTTGGGAAACAACAGAAAATATATCACACAAGAAAACCAGGTCCACAATAACAGCAACACGATGCATAGATTGCAATAACACAATAAAAGGAATACTTAGAGCAATGTCAGTTCATAATGCTCATTCGTCTAAATCCACTACTTGTAAAACCCTAAAAAGAAAGAAAGAGGCATTTAAAAACAAAGAAGGGGCATTCTCACTTTCAAAATGCAAACATATCTAATATAAACAAATCCAGATAAAAATCATTAGAGGGTAACCCTTAAAATCAACATATTTGCTCGATTGACAGTGAAAAAAATAGACGCCAAAAAGAAGAAAAATTCATAATCAAGGCAGCTGGAGGAAATTAAACTTATATTACATGGCTAATGGAATAGAAATCATTATCTTTAATATGTTTTCCTATCACCTTCAACTGATATGTATACTACTACAAAATCTCAGTCATCCTGAATAAGTTCCAAGTGGGCTTCATATATAGAACTTGCACAACAAATGGTTGATGTTCTATTATTCCAGAATTACAGTGAAAAATATGTGTAAGTGAACATTAGCATGCCATTTCTTTAAGCTTATGCTGAACAATACACAACAAGATGCAAAACAACAGAAAAACAAAACAACAGCACATGCAACTCAACTGTTATCATTCACCCTCAATTGATTAGTTTCCTATTTTTTTATTTCACAAAATGTCACCAAATTGACGCTCTGAGAGCTGTAAAGGGCAACAACATCATCGAATAAAGACATTCTATACTTCATAAAAGATCAATGGTAAAGAGCAGCTCCGGAAGTGGGCTTGTTAGTTGTTATCATATTTGCAGAAATCCATCTTACATGCATTTGCATATAAGTGGTTGAATTTAAGCCATAACATAAGTTTCAAATTACATTATTCCTAACTAACCTCTCTTATGGGATGTCCAGGTAGTGGCATTAAAAAATTAGAAGGATATGGATAATTCACCATCGCCAAATAACTATAAGCGGATTCTAACCAGTTTGAAAGGTCTTGGACACTCTTCAGTTCCCTGCCAATATTTTCAAACTAGATCAAAACCCAAAAATTTGTGTCCCAGTTGATTAGAACATGCATATATACAAATTTCTTCCTTTGTCCTTACCGACACATCAAAACCCAAAAATTTGTGTCCCTGTTGATTAGAACATGCATATATACAAATTTCTTCTTTTGTCCTTACCGACACAAATGAAAAGTTTGAGACAGTTGCTGAAGACCATCCTCTCTTTGACCCGCAGATGTCAGTGCATTCCATGATTGTTTTATAGTGTCAAAGCAGCTATTGCTTTCATGCTACATATATTCAAAGCCAAAAAAAAGAAGTGGCAGTGTTATAATAGAGACTAAACTATAAACAAACTGTAACAAAAACAAAAAGAACTTAGAACTGCATTGCCTTAAATGAGTTGGAGACAATATTATAAAATGTTTCTGGAGGTACAATGTCTTCAAACTGAAGAATTGGCGCTGACGAAGCAAGTGCTCCGATGGCAATGTGAGGATATTTCAGCCTCATCCATGCCGCTAACACTGTTCCATTAATGCCATGAAGATCAATTACATAACTAAACACTTTCCACTAATCAAATTCCACCATTCATTTAGCGGCAACAGCATTCAATAAACACCCAAAAAACTAAATTAAAAATTTTTCAAAAATCGTGGACTTACTTCCTCCATATGAGCCGCCAAATAAAACAACCGGACACCCTTCAGCAGATAAATTCCTCTTCAAATCAGTAATCAGAACTGCGAAATCCGCAAGCGCTTGCTCTGCCGTGAGATAAGAAAGAGTAGTGGCATTTTTATAAGCCTCTTCTCTACTTCCGTACGGCATTGACTCCCCATAATACCGGTGCTGCCAATTCCATCACCATTACGCTTAGTGATGAGGTTCAATCAAACAGAGCCTTAAATAAAACGGAAATTTGAAATTTGAGTTGACCTCAGGAAAGAGAACCATGGCCCCGAAGCGAGGGGCGATATCCCAGACAAAACCGGTGTTGACGGCGAACCAGTCAATGTCACCTTCGTTGCCGCAATAAAGAAAGATTGGGCCGAGACGAGATGGGCCGACCCAGTGTTCGGTGTTGATAAGGTAACGTTGTCGGAAGTTCGGAAGATCCGAGAAGCTGAAATGGTCCAGTCGTTGGGAGAAGTACCGGGTTTCGTAACGGTATTGCTGGTGGTTGGTTTTGATTGAGTGTGAGTGTTTGCCCAGAAAGCGCGGGGGTTTATTGGAGGGAAAGACATTGGAGGGCTGTGATGTAAGGGATGAAGAAGGGGATGTTAAAAGGACGGTGGTGATGATGATGAGGATGAAGGAGACTCTGAGACTTGCCATTTTGGGTGGGCGAGTTTCAGCAGAGCAACTGAAACTCAACTGTTTGCTGCGTTTAGCCGGGAAGCTTTGAGGTAGGTGAGGTTATGTTCAGGTGTTTGCAGGATCAGGGAAGGTGGTCTATCAATTCTGTTCTCTGATGCAGTCGAGTGGATCACGTCATTGTTGGCATTTTATGGCAAACTGGATTTTGGATATATGGGCTGGGCCTGGTGATTAACTCAAAGGGAAAAATGTAAGTTTTGAAAGAGCTTAGATTATTTATTTTTAACAAAAAAACACTTACAAGTGTAATTAAACCAATCAAATTACTTAGTTAAACTAAGTTGAAGTATATTACTACTAAATTTTAAGTAATTTTACAAATTTAATCTTATAAAATCAATTTAAATAAAAGTTTATTAATCTATAAATAAGTCACTTCACTTCATTTGTAAATATACAAATGAATAAGATCTCTTTACTCCTTTTAAATATTTTATTTCTTTCTAAGTTCTTTCTTTTATATCTCTCTTATAATTGTTCTCTTAAAATTTATTTCATAACAATTTAATATTTTTAAAAGTATATGTATTTATTACATAATTGCAATACTCAAGTTTTGAATTTAAGTTAAGACTGAAACTCCTTACTTGAATTAATAATTATCAAAATGAACCATGTTAAAAATCAAATATATTTGATCCCTATTTATACTTTTTTCATGATATTATTTATCTACGTTGAATATTGAAATTTTTTCAATAGACTCATCTAAATTCATTAATACATATTCCTTTTAAATCTAAAAAAAAAAAAAGCATAACACTTTTAAATTAACTTAAATAATTTAACCACTCACAAAAGTCCAGATATCACTTTTTAATCAATTAAAATCTATAACATGTCTTTGTAAGAAAACTTTATGCTAGCATGCTTTCAACAGATACAAATTAAGTTCAAATTTGGCACGTCTTTGGTTTAAAACAAGAAAAACAACAAGGTTAGGAAATGTTATATTTCCTAATAACTTATTTTGTGGAAAATATTGGATATAACATTAATCTTGAATAAAACTTGAGAAGTAAGATGCATAATATATATTTTGTGGAAAATATATAACACGTATTCTAAAATCAAATAATTAAGTAAAAAAATTTTATATATTTTTTAACATTATAAATTTTTTTTATTTAAATATTTAACTTATTAATAAGTATATCAATAATCTATTTAAAATTTTATATTTTTTAAATTTTTTTTCAATTTAGTAGCTTAACATGTTGATTTTGTTCAATTTAATCATTGTACTATATATTTTTTTCAATTTAATCCCTATGACATGAAAAAAAAAATTTTGAAAACTTTTTTGATCTGTCGCGCGACACTGATATGTCAACGCAACGTCAGCATTTACCACGTTATCATATTAGTGTCACATGGTATTACCACATCATCACACCAGTATCACGTGGGATGACATGTCATCAAAATGTGTCACGTTAACACTGATGTTATCCTTGTTAATGGAAAAATTAAATATCGAGACTAAATTAAAAAAATTTCAAAATAAAAAAATTAAATTGCTTTGATTTTGAATTCATGTACTAAATTGAATGAAATTAAAAAGTATAAAGACTGGATAGATTTTTTGACCAAATTAATTTCATATTTAGCACATGTCTTTGGTTTAGAACAAGAAAAACAAGAAAGCTAGGAAATGTTGTATTTCCGAATAACTATTTCGTGGAAAATATTGGGTATAACATTAATCTTGAGTAAAACGTGAGAAGTAAGATCCATGACTTGAGCTAGTCAAATTATTTATCATCAAATTCAAGCCATTAATAAGGTGTGGGCCTCTAGGAGACTAATCGGAGAATTGGATTAGTCATAATAATGGATTTCAACTTTCAACCATACGGGCTTCATAAAATGACATAGACCCGCAATCAATTATTATAGCAATTCACGAGCCCATACCAATGACATTTGTGCGGTTTTCTTTTTTTTAATGATAAGAGAAACGGAATTTGAATCAGATTCTTCGAGCAGAGATCATACATGCATCACCATTTAGTCAAATTTTTAGGTGTAAAATTTGTGGGTTTTTAGTTAAAATAAAGGGAGTAGAAGCTAGGAAAAAGGGGTGGGGAGAGGGGGGATAAAAATAAAGAAAATGGAGGGAAGGAGAGAGAGAGGGATTTGATGTACTGTAGGCTGGATAAGAGGCAAAATGAATAAGAATGTCCATCATTGCATGCCTAGACCGAATCTAAATTAAAAAAAAAAATTGAGCAAAATAAAATTCCATCTTCCACACTTCTACTCCAAAACCCAAAGTCCAAACCTCATTTTCATAGCTTTGCTTGGTAGTAAAAAGAGAAAGTAATCAGCTCATGGGCTGGTCCCAATCTTGTTGGCCTTAATGTTGGGAACTATCATTCACCTCAAGCATTATTCAATACCCTGTATCAGAATAAAATTTTTTCTGATTTATGAAAATCCCATAAGAAATTTATTTATTTTTTATATACATATAACCAAAGTGAAATGGAATCATATCTTCAAAGGAAATCTCCCAAATAATTACACAACATGAGGCATGATCTTTGATTCTCATTCATAATTGGCAACATTATAGGAACAAAAATGAAGATAAGGCAGCTCATCTTCATTTTAATCAAGTGCTGAGGACTAGAAGACAGTTAATTGATATAAAAAGCTGCAATATATGGGACAATTTTATAATCTCCCTTGTTAGCTTTAAGCTTGCCTTAGAATGGCAAAAAGATTGGATGGGGGGTGAGGGGGTCCAAAGCTCACGTGGGCATAGTTTTGTCTCTACCAGCCCTTTGCGTGCCGTCCTCTGCTTTTCAAGTTCATGGTTCATACGAACAAGCTCTAAAACCTTTCGGATAAAGGGGTGGGGCAAGAAAGTGAAAGAAAATTCCCATTCCAAGAGTAGTATCTGAAATATTTATTTGCATTTTATCCATCAATAATTCTCAAATAAACAAAAAAAAATAGAATAGATTGTTATCGTCTCCACAAATTAATCATATAAGTATTGAATTTGTTATACAATTTGGTTAATTAATATTGGTTAAAATTAATAATTTTTAATATACAATAAAATCATTCGTGTACGTTATTTTAATTAATACTTATTACTCACAACTTAAAATTTGGATTAAAATTTTCTTTCAAATAAGAATTGTCAAATTCGAGTCCAAATTAATTAATGTAGAGGATAATTTTTAAATTTTGATCTAATTGGCAATATATCTTGTTGGCTCTATTCCTTTATTTCTTTACCAAGGTTTTGTGGAATCCAAATAGACAAGCAAATTTTGGGAACTTAGTGCACACAAGGAAACTTCACATATCTTGGTTGCAAGATGTCGACCTTATCAATGGTCCCTGGTTCAATTGGATGTAAAAGGAGGGGAGAGTTTAAACCATTGCAACCACAATCTCACTGAAAAAGTTCAGGTGCATGTGGAGGACAAAGACACTTTTTGGCTCAAGTGTAAGACTCTCCAGATTCCACAATGTTAGGATTCATTGTACCGGTGAAAGTCTTAAGTGGAAATTGAACTATATCGAAAGGAGAGTGAAAGCAATCACTTGCTAATAAGTTTTTTTTTTTCTTGAATTTGAGTGTCAATCCGATTGAACACAATGGCAAGGCTACAACATTTTCAAACTTCATATTAATTAGAATTGGTAATGAAGTTTAGTAGTAACAAACTTGACCACTACCATCCTTCACACAATGGGTATCTAAATATAGTTTCGTGAGCAAATTAATGGGAAGGTAGTAAAGTTTACAATCCCATTGATATTTCCTTTTTGGTACAACTAAAACTTTTATTTTGCTGCATCTCAAATTGGTTAAATTGGGCAAAAATTTTTGTGCTTTTGTTCATTTTTCTTTATTTTTTTCCTTTTTTCGACAATGCCGATACGCATCTTAAATGTCTTGGTAAGGCAATTTAATCTAATATAAATATATAAAGATAAAGTATGGAATTAAAAAATAATATATTTTTGTAGATAAAGCATTTCTTTTTATATGTGTCTTTTAATTAATATGTTTGGTTTGATTTGATTTGATATATTTTTAATTTATGAAATAACATTTTTAACTAAATTAATTTCAGTTTTAAACTAATGTGTACTCTTTGCATTGAATTCTTAATTTCTTTTATAAGAATTTTCTAAAATATAATATATCTATTGTTTGCATTTAATCTCTTACAAGAAAATCTACATTCAGCTATCAGCTTTTGTTTAAAAAGAAAAAAGCCCTCTACCAGCAGTTTTTGCTCTTTACGAATTTTAAAAATTTAACATAGTTTTCTAATTCATAGCATTTACACTAATTAAAGAATTCAAGTTTTGAAATCATATAAGTAGTTGTTACTCGGCCGATTTGTTTTTTTTTCAAAGAATGCCAAAAATTATTTTTTTTCTCTCATATGTTATTAGCATTTCAATAATTTAGTCAATCTATCTCTCACTTACTACTTTGATCTTTTAAAATTAAATTAAATGCATGTAACGCACTTTCTTTCTCTATAATAATATTCACTTGATATTTGAAGATTTTAAAAATATTTTGGAAAATTGGATTTTGCATGCAACATTCCATGTGGACTTATATATTTTAGATATATATTATAAAATTTGAAAAATTAAAATATAATTTTGTCAAGAGTACCAATTTTATTTTATTTTTTAAAATGTAGATAATTTTTTTATATACACATAAAAATAAATGGTACATGGCGCTGATCAAAAAAGCTAGTTGTGGATTTAAAGACACTCAAATAAAAATTAATTAGTAGTTTACTTTTTTTTTTCTTTGAAAAGAAAGTTACCACATTCAAACTTGATATTGCCACTTTGAGATTTAACAGTTTTCCATTAATTTATGAAATAATATCAAAGTTAATTTGGGGGCAGGACAAAATGTCGGAGGAAACTATTTAGCCTAAGAAGAACAACATTTCAACATTTCAAATGGAAGAAAGATAAAAAGGAAGAAGAAGAAACCAAATACGGATTGTTTTGAAAAGATAAAAGGTTCATCATAGTTTGTTGAATTTAAGAGTAAAAGTCTTAAAAAACCAGCTAAGGCCCAGT